AAATAATCTTTAAAAAAAAAAAAAGAAAGAAAAATATTATTGTCTAAAAAAAAAAATTAACTGAAGGTCTCACTTTAAGGTCTCACCATAAATGTAACTCTGAGGAAGACTGCAGTCAATTTTATAGTAAAAATAAAAAGAAGACTATATTGAAAAAAATATATTTTTCAGAAAAATATCAGCAACACCATGTTAGAGACAGGCTAAAAAACTGATTAAAGTACATGAATATGTACCAAAAATATTCTACTTATGTAAATGTTTGGATTATATGTTTAATGTTTAGAAAATCAATGTAAAATTTTTTTAATGTTTTAATGTCACAAATGTTTTTACAAAAAAAGTTTTGAAAGTTTTTGAAAAGAAATGTTATAGATCTACCAAAACAGAATAATTTGTCAATCAATAAATAATTTTAAAAACTGTAATTTTAACTCTTGAAATCCTTCTCCTCATTCCCCAAGGTGCCCTGGTTTAGATGATAAGAAAACGACTCTAAGTTTCTGAGTAAGAAAACCACTGTAAGGACTAATTCTACCATGCCTTGATCCTCTTTGTGACATAAGTACAAGAAGCCAATGATTAAAAAAAAAAAAAAAAAAAGAAGCAGCCAATGATTACCAAGGCATTTTTCACCATCTGGATTCTCCATCCTCACAGAGCCATGTTCTTTCCCTCATATGACCTGACCCTTCCAATGGGCCTCATGAAATTCGTGGTCAGGCACCAGAAAAATCTCTACCTCCTCAGCTTTTTTCCCCAACATTTCTTCTGAGAACACTGCTTCCTCTTCAGCCCTCTTAAAAGGTGGCTGATTTCTCTTCTACATTCCTGTGGGGCCTACTGATGGGCCTTCCTTGCATTTTACAACCACTTCCATTCTATTGCTACGAACTACTCGTAAAAAAAAAGCAGGGGGCAAAAAACTACTATCAAAACCCTAAAGAGAAATCTCCCATGTTCCCTAAGGATTTTTAGCACAAGGCTCATTGTCATTCTCTAACACTATTCCTATCATAATTCTTAGTATTTTCAGTATCCATGTAGACAAAACTATATACCAAACTTTGTCCTCCACTTCATCCCCAAACTGCCATGGTCATAGCATAGATTTTTTCTTTATCAATATTGCAACTGCATCATAATTTCAATTTCAATTATCCTAATCACTTATCTTTTCACCTTATACCCTCAATATCCCAACTTCAACAATTTTGATTTCTATTAGGATCTACAATCTATTGAAAATACTTCCTCACTGTCTCTCCCTTCAAATCCTCACATCCCTCCTAATCTGGCTTAGATTCCAATCTGTCCTTAAAATCACTCCTTTGCCTCATCCTCAAACTCTCTGGCCCTCTTCCACTGTGTCATACTTACCTGGCAAAATCCCAACACTGGTTAAATCCAACTCTATGCCTATTAATAAGTTTGCACTTGGGACCCCTGGGTGGCTCAGTTGGTTAAGCGTGTGCCCTTGGCCCAAGTCATGATTCTGGGGTCCTGGGATCAAGCCCCACTGTCAGGCTCTCTGCTCAGCGGGGAGCCTGCTCCTCCCTCTCCCTCTGCCCTTACCCTGCTTGTGCTCTGTCTCTCTGTCTCTCTCTCAAATAAATAAATAAAATCTTAAAAAAAAAAAAAGTTTGCACTTGCAGAGCTAAACATGGCTAGAGAAAAACACCTAAATGGGTTGTATGGTCTCACTTTAAATTCATGATCACTAACCTAAAGTAGGCCTTTAGTGCTGCCCAATATTCCAACTAACATTTCCCTAGGCATTTCAGCTTTCCCTCTCTTCTAATCATCTACGTTCTCCCTATCCCACCTACAGGCTCCTTCCCTCCACTTGTGAATTTGACCATGCTCCTATCTTTGGCCACTGTCTCCCCCTTGTGCACTATACTGTTGCCCCTCTCACCTACTGAAAGCCATCACTCCATCAATTCTCCCTCTTTCTATTCTAACATCAACTTATCCCTCTCTGTTGGATCATCCCCACTCATACATATACTGTATCTCTCACCTTAAAACAAAGACCTTTCCTGACTTCAAATTCCTGTCCAACTACCCCTACTCTTAGCGTGTCATCCTCACTAACTCCAATTCCTTCCTTTCCATTCTCTTGAATCCACTGTGACAAGGTTTTCATTACCACTCCATAAAAAAAGCTCAAGATCATCCAATGCCTCCACATCACTAAATCTAATGGTGGATTCTCAGTCCTCAACTTGACCCACCCGCATTTGACATAGTTTATTATTTCCTTCTCCTTAAAATGCTTATATTTCATTTGCCTTCTAGACATCATTCTTGTCTCTTGATTTTCTACTTTTCTAGTCACCTTTTCTTAGTCTCTTTAGCTGGATCTTCCTAACTTGATCTCTAAATATTTTGGAGTGTCCCAGGGCTTAGCCCTTGAACCTTTTTTCTTTACATTTTACTCCCTCCCTAGGTGATTTCATCTAAGTTCATAGCATTAAATATCTACTTATTGACAACTTCCACATTTAGATTTCCAGCCAGGACCTCAATCCTGAACTCCAGTAGGCATCAGCAAAAGATATAGTTTTCTAGGGTGCCAGGGTGGCTCAGTCAGTTAAGTGTCTGCCTTTGGCTCAAGTCATGATCCCAGGGTCCTGGGATCGAGTCCCACATCAGGCTCCCTGCTCAGTGGGGAGTCTGCTTCTCCCTCTCCCTGTGCCTGTCACTCTGCCTGCTTGTGCTCTCTCCCTCTCTCTCTAATAAATTTTTTTTAAAAAGATACAGATTTCTGTCTCTAGCTTACATTTCTTCTCTTAGCTTTCAACCCATTTATCCAACTGTCTACATCTCTAGTTGATCTCAAAGAAATATTCCAAATGTCCAAATGTAAACTCATAATCTCCACCCTCATTCTACCTCTGAAATAAGCTCCTCTCCAAGCATTTCAGGTATCTGTGAATGGCACCATCATTTCCCCAAATGTAACATCCAGAAATATAGATATCTCCCTCTCCTTCATCTTTAATGTATGATCCATCCTACTGATTCTACCTTTTAAGTATTTCCTGAATGTATCCTTTTTTCCATACACATCTTCTCTAGTCCAAGCTTCTATCACACTCCGCCAGACTAATACAGATACCCACAGTCTTTCTGCATCCACTTCTACTTCTCCAATTCATCCTCCATGTACTTCTCAAAAACAAGAATCTGATCCCATCTCTCTGCTTCAAATTTTTAATACATTCCTACTGCTTTCAGAATAAAAACAAGATTCCTTAATAAAGCCCAGAAGGTCCTGGATAGGATGCCCACTACCTTACCTTCACAGATTCATCTCTCATCTGCCTCTGTATCACACTCTACATTTTGGCATCACTAGCTTTCTTTCAGTCCTTTGAGCATGGTCCCTACCCCCACTGGAATTTTGCAGTATTCCCTCTGTCTGGAATGTCACTACCACAACCTCACTGCCATCACCACCCCATCTCTTTTTACTCCCTAATGTCTACTCAATATTCAGATCTCACCTCAAGAAACAATGCCTTAGAGAAACCTTCCCTGCCTCCTCAAGCTGTATCAACTTCCCTTCAAACATGCTTATCATTGCACCTATCACTTACTATTTCTAAACATACATTTACTTTTGTGATTAATTTGTGCTCAATGTCTGTCAATTTAAAAAGACTTTAAGGTCAATTAAGGAATAGATTGTGCTTTGTACATACTGTATCTCTAGCCTCCACCAGACTTGACAGGCAAATATTTTTTCAATGAGTGAATCAACACAGGAGTGACAGTGGAAGCCACACAACTGGATAGTACTGCAGAGGAATGGGACTTAAAAAGATAAAAGAGACCAGGGTTCCAGGAAAATATCACAATTTAGCAATCAAGAAGAGGAAATAAGTTGGAAAAAAAGCTGTCAAAAGGGGTGATGGGGTAATTGAGTGATGGACATTAAGGAGGGCACCTGATATAATGAGCACTGGGTATTATATAAGACTGATGAATCACTGACCTCGACCTCTGAAGTTAATAATACATTATATGTTGATTTAAAAAATAAATTTTTAAAAAGCCGTCAAAAGGTTAAAAACAACAATGAAAAAACGAAACAGCATCACAAAAGCCAAGGAAAGATACACCACCAAAAAAGATAGAACAGGCCACTGAATTTGACAGGTAGGCAGCTAGTGATCTGACAAAATAATAATGTGGGACGCAGAGAGGAAGTCAACAAAAGGAAGAGATGAGGGAAAGGTCACATCTTTCCAACTCCTCTGGATAAGATTTTACACTTGCTAACTTTTTCGAGATTCTAAAACTACAATGTCGGTCCGAATCGAACAATAAATCTAAGGAAAATATATGTGCCATTTTAGATTTCAGCCTTATTTCTATCTGGGTGAGTCATTTTAGACTGACTACTTTTCTGACATATAACAACAAAAGTTCTAATACATACACCCGAAACGTCCTTTTTTTCAAAGCACCTTACCTCCCCAAATCATCAAAGCAGACATCTGTATGTCCCTCTGTATGTCCAAATCTCATGGGCTTCTGTATGGCAGGCATTTTCTTCTACCTACCTAAAAATGTTTTATAAAAGCTAGTATTATTTTAAAGGTGAGGAAAGACGATGGCTGACGGAGAAGGGAAGTTAGTCTCCCGGCGGCCCCTTTCCCCCAGTGGCACAAACAAGATATAGTAGAGGGTCTGTCAGACAATACCCGGGAAAAGGACACGCTTCTCTTCGGTGCGCGACACCGACACCAACAGCGTTAAGGAGTACTCAGCAACGGGACCGACCTCCGCCACCGAGGAAACGCGCGTAGCAAGCGTCGGCGCAGGGCCGCTTCCCGCGCTCAGGCGTGCTCGCTACACTGCGCCTGCGCCCGCTCGCCCACGCCCAGCGCCGGGGCGGACCGAAGTCGCCGGGTGGTGGCGTCAGCTGCGCGCCGCCTGCCAGGGAAAAAGCCGGCTGTTGGGAGAGTGAGGAAGAAAGGGAGGGTGCCGAACACGGAAGTGATGGCAGCGCCTTGGGAGCAGGTGGAGGCGGTGACCGCAACGTGTGAGACAGGAACTCAACGCCGACGGGTGGGGGCTTGCAGAAAGGCGTCCGCCCTTTAAGATCTACACGAGGTGCAGGAGTGGCTGGGCCTCCCTTCTCCACCTTAGCGAGCACTCAGAGTGATGGCGATGGTGATGGCGGCAGTTACTCGGACAGCCCCAGTTAAGCTGCGCTCTGAGAGGTGAGTGGGGGAAGGGTGGTTGCTGCCCGGCCTTGCCGATTGGGGTCAGCTATCACTTTCCAGGCTCTCCTAACATGCAGCCGTATCCGAGTGCCTGTACGTGACCAGTTCCTCCTTGGGGCCCGGTTAGAGGATGAGGTCTTTGAGCATCTTCTCTTGAGGAGAGCGAGACCCTTCCCAAACCTTTAATCCTGGCATCCTTCGTGCCCTCATCTTGTCGTTTCTATAGAGATAAAGGAGGGAAGACTTTAATCCCAGTTCTCAGTTCCTAGAGGTATGGCCTGCACATTAATGCTTATTTGGGGGGGGGGGGGACTCTACATATATTCCTTAAGAAGAAAGTAACTTGGATTTCCCCGTTCAGACCCCACCTAAAATTCACTGAACTGCATATTTAGAGCTAAAAGAAGAGCCAGAACTAAAGTATATTGTTGTATACTTCGCTCCTTACAATCTGAGCGAAGGTCTTGGCCATTTAGTTTATGCTTTGATTGTTTCCCCATGTTCTCCCGTGTTGGCAGAACGGTCTGATGAATACCTTCACAGTTACGTATTTTTGTGGTACCCACCTTCTAGTCTGCGTCAGACTCTAGTTTATGACATAAGTGAGACGTTTTTCTGGTGTAGATATTTCCCCATTGTTTTTCAATCTAGTTCCATTGTGAAAATTACACAGTTACACAAACGGTGCTATTGTTCTTACTGTCTTGGCATTCTGTGAAGGTTGTTTTGAGTACTAGGGTTCCAAATAGGCTTCCTAGATACTTAAGTATGGTATATTAATGAAGAGGAAGAATGATTGGCTGAAAATGAACTTGGGATTTGTGGCAAAATAGCCAAACTATTGTGGATTTCCCATAACAACAAAGGATACCTGAGATTACTCTTTCTGAGTGACTTTATTTGGAGATCATTCGTTAATTTTTAGATAGACTGATGTGTAATTTTTTTATCCAAGTAAATATCACTGGATAGACTATGGGATTGAAGATGAACTCTTAATATTCGTCTCTGTATTGAATATATCTTGATGAGATTTCAAGGTAGTGCTATTCAGAGCTCAGCATAAGAAGAATCTGTAAATTGAAATAAGAGTTATAGGTATAAAATGCCCTAACTATGACATCTATAAACCCTGTGACTTTAAAACTATGAATGGTGTCTATATTTCTCTCCCTTCACTCTGCCTAGCAATCAAGTCATTTGATCCATAGGTTAAAGAAAAATTTCCTTTACAAATTTCACATGTATGGAAAGAGCTTAGGCCTTAGAGTTGACAGTTACTCATTGTATGACCTTGAATATGCTTTACTTTTTCTGATGTCAGATTCCTTATTTCTAAAATGGAGATACCTACTTCCATCGATTGTTAGTTTTAGTGTATAGGAGATACTCATGGATGTATAAAATTAATTGTTAATAATGTCTGGTGTTATTAACAGAGTACTTTGGGTGGGTACTTAGTGCTTTTATTTAAAATAGAGTTTGTTTTGTTTAAGTAATTATCCTGTAAAATTTTTCAGTATTAATTTTGCTAGTATTGCATTTCTCTTTCAGTCAAATGCCAACAAATTTTTATGTCAATGAGTTCATGGTCTTGATGGAAACAGACATTCAAACAACATGTACAAGACAGTGTGGTAATGAAATGCATGTAACTTAAATGTTAGCAAAATTGTGTGGTTATTTAGGATAATGTAGCCTTAAAAAAAATCCATTGTAGCTGTCACCGATCTGGCTGTCAAAATTTTCCAAATGGATTTATTTATCATTAACAGTGCGTGTCTCATAGGAGTGGGTAGCTGAATGAACTCACCGAAAATGACACCAAGGTCACAGTTTAAACTGCTCTGGAGATTAGTTAGCTTTGCTCTGTTGCAACCATTTTTAGGACCCTTACGCTCACAAATACTGTTCTCAAGGTCAAGAAGGTGAGAAAACATGAATATATTACCATTCTGCTGATGGTGATGACTATTATCTACATCATATACTCTTAGAGACTCAGTTTATTTGAGAAGCATATCAGTATTGCCTTATGGAAGGGGCTTAAAACATGCCTTTTCAATAAAATATGTAGTTGATGTAAAAATCACTAATTATGTGAAAGATAAGGCTGGAAGAGAGTGTTAACTGAGGCGAGGGACATCTGGGTGGCTCAGTTGGTTAAGCGTCCGACTCTTGATTTTGTCTCAGGTCATGATCTTAGGGGGGTCATGAGATTGAGCCCCAGGTGGGCTTTGTGCTGGGCATAGAGCCTGCTTAAGATTCTCTCTTTCCATCTGCACCCCCCCACCCCATCTCTCTCACACATGTGTGTTCTCTCTCTCTCTAAAAAAAACAAAAATAAAAAATAACTGAGGAGAACAGAGTATTGAAGAAAACAATATCAAAGGCAATTTAGAAATCTGAAGATTTGTGTATCTCTAAAGGTGTCCTGAAACTTGCCAGCCTATTTAATTTATTTTTGGAGTAAATAATACTTGCATATGTATAAACTTCCTGAGGTATAAAAGGCAATACAGTAAAAGTTCTGTTCCCAGCTATCCAGTTCTTGTGGCTAAAGACAGCCACAGTATTTGATTGTGTTGTTACATGGGTAGTGGATCCTTACACAGTAAGACAGATATAATCACTCTTTTATTGATGAAGAAACCAAGACTCAGAGCGGTTATAGTTTGTCCAAAGTCACACTCCTACCGAACGTCAAAACGAGAAATAGAGCACACAGGTCTTTTACCTTCTGATTCAAGATAGTCTACCAGACTGCCACTCCATATCATAACTGTTACCATAAAACTTAGAATTTAGTAAAACACATCAGTACATAAAGACATTTAAGTCTAGAGTCACCTTATACTAGTTTGTTAAAACTTGTATTAGTAAAACTTGTCACCCAAGCTTAAATATAAGAATATGTAATTATTATAAAGCAATGGAAAAACTAATTTATAGTAAGTTAAAAAAAACTTTGCCTACTCTTTCTGTTGAAATCTATGTATTTACTAAGTTAGCTTGCAAGAAACTACATTTTTTTTTTTTTAAGAAACTACATTTTTTAAGTTAAAGGTTTGGTTATTTACATCCATAATATTTTTAAAGAATTTAAAATTTTTTAACTTTTTAAAAAAACGGTATTTAATATCAAGAGTAATATAAAATACTTTATGATATTTCAGAAATGCTGAAGCCTCCTCAGCCTCAGATTTTCAAGCCTTATATGTGGCTTTTGTTTCCTCTTGTTCCTTTTTTTTTTAATTTTGTCACTTTTACACGTCTCATTTTTAGAAATTAATTTCTACATGAGAAGTTCTGAGTACTACTAGAAGGTAGCTAATATGCATTTTCATTAATCTCAGTGTATGCTATTTTCATACATCTTAATCCTGGTGGCAGAAACAATCAGGCCACTGGAATTATCCAGATTTTACAATGTGAAAACTGAAGCTAAATGAGATTTTAAAATCAGGTGATAGAACTAGTATGTGACAAAGTCTGGATTTTAGCCCGTGTTTGATGATTTAGCCCTTCATGCTATTTCATCGGCACCATGCTCCATTTTTAAATATAATGGAGTGAAAAACTGTAGATGGTTAATTTTTTATAGATGTTTAAAACATTAAAATTTTCTCTTTAGACTGAATTACTCTTACAAGAAAAAAGACTTCAAGGAAATGAGCCAAAATGTCTAAATTGACTGCCTTTAGGTAATTGAAGTATAGTTTTTTTCCTCCCTTTTAAACTTTTCTGAATGTTCCATGTATTTTATGCTGAGCTTATATAGTTTTTATAATTACAAAATTATAAATTGGAAAGAAAAAATACATCTGTTTAATCCAGTTTATTCCCTAAAGAGTTACAATCATATATCTTAAATATTCTGGTTTCTAAGATTCTTTTAAGGTCCTTCCACTTTTAAAAGCCCAGGCACTGCCAGCTCTTAGTTTTCTGTTCTCTCTTCACTCTAGATTAACCTTCTTCAGTGACAGGTTCCTGGCCATTTCTCTTTGGCATGCTCAGGGAATGTATAATCATTTAAATATTAGCCCAAGTTAATATTTCCCCTAAAATTTGCTCCAAAATTATTTGTGTGAGCCAAGTACAGGAAACTATGGGTTAAGCAGACTTCTTAACTGAAGGACCTCTCAGAACCTTTTGCTGAATATACATTATAATATTTAATAGGGAAAGCCATTCCTAAATTTGTTTAACAAGGAAACCCCATCTCTCTAGAATGTGTATTAACATCTTTTAGAACTAGTGTCCACGAAAAGTACAGACTGGGGGACACTGGCATAAGCAAGCAATAACTGGGAAAGTAAGTGGGGAGGAGGAGGATGTAGTGGTACTAATCAGTAATTCATTTTGTTTATTAATCATTTAAGTCCCATGAGCCCTGACTTGGCAGCATGAAAATGGCAGACACTAAAATATTTACTGGAAGGGGGGCGCCTGGGTGGCTCTTGTTAAGCGTCTGCCTTCGGCTCACGTCATGATCCCAGGGTCCTGGCATCGAGCCCCGCGTCAGGCTCCGTGCTCGGCGGGAAGCCTGCTTCTCCCTTTCCCACTCCCCCTGCTTGTGTTCCCTCTCTCACTGTGTCTCTCTCTGTCAAATAAATAAAATCTTTAAAAAAATAAAATAAAATAAAATATTTACTGGAAAATGAACCTGTATTGCTCTTGTAATGAGAAAAAAAACAAAAAACATTTTTTTATTTCAGAGATTTTTTTCATATGAACAAACCTGGTTTTCATTATTTTTCCTTAACATTTCAAGGAGTTCATATGTCATCTACTATCCAGTATATTCCATTTGTGGGCCCTAAATGTCTCCACAGAATCCTCCTCAAGTATCAAACTATGATCATATGTTAAGGACTGTGACCCGCAGAATCAAATTCAGATATCACAGCCTATGATCAGAATGCTTTCAGGGAGTTTTGGGACACATAATGGCAGGTAAACTTTGGAGTCGTGGATTTGGTGAGGAAATTCCCAGA